CACAATGAAACTTTTGCTCTAATGAAACAACAGCATGGTATGTGAATGAATAGACGGTGGCTCCTTTTATTCTCAGAGCTGCAGGACGGGCAGAAGGACTCCTCCAACAGTGACAAGGACCACGTGTATGAGAGTCCTGTCAGTGTTCCAGGTGTGTAGTTAAAATGTCCGTGCATTTATGGTGAATTTGTGTTAATATCCATTGTTTTAGGTAATTTGAAAAAGTAATCAGCTAAGATTTAGTGACTCAGGTCAGATTAATTAACTAATTATTTCAATTGAGATTTACCCCAGATATATACTCTACACTGAAAAAACGAGTGAGAGTCAATATCTGATGCTCAAGACAACAATCCAAAAAGATCATTTTATTCAATGTTGTTTTTTGTTTGGTGCAGATACTGAGGGATGTGGATTTGGGCTTTTAAATACAACAAGAAAAGTAAGAACTTGTTCTTTTGCATGTTTACGAGTTAATATACTTTCAAAGTATCTACAGTTTGTCCAAATTTTGAGGTTCCTGGATTTTGGTTATGTTCTGGTCGTTTCCTGGGTTAGGTTTAGTCTTTTTTTTATTGTTACTTGTGTTTTATTTTGGTACGTTTTTCAGCTTCCTGTGCCCTCTACTTGCGTCTTTTTTGCGTCTCCCTTTTTCATTTACTTCTCTTCAGTGTTTCTTTATCAATTCAACTCTCGTCCCATATGGTCCCTGGGTCACCTGTTCTTCATTCGCCGATCACACTCCCTTCTATATATGCTTCTAAGTGTTTTCGATCCTGGCAAGGATTGAAAAGACTGTATGTTACTTCTCAAAGTGTTTGATACAGTTTTTGTCTTGTATATGCGATTCCTTATAATAGAGTTCCTCCTGTTTTTCGTTGCTTGCCTGCATTTGGATCAATTCCTTCTTCTATGGCAAACAAAAAATAAATCTTCTATTTTCTGTCAAGAATCCATCAATATATTAAGTTATTACAAGAAAATCCCCTTCAGGCATTTTCTTCAAAACTATTCGAATAACATAATTGGAGACTGTAGTCAAATTAATTGTTTAAGACATTTGTAAAGAAAAGACCTGACCATGCTCACATTGAGCTGTGATGTAGGCCTACATTGTACAGATTTGATATATATAATATATAATATCAGCAGTGTTTCATACTAAAATAAATAATAAAGAAAACATCTGTCTATCTGGGTATATTTATTTATACATGTATGTACGAATTTATTCAATGTGTTTGAAGTCCCAGTAAATCTGTTGGCTCATTTTGCTCCCACCAGTATGTGAAGCCCATGAACTTCCAGGATGAAGTTCGAGCCCACAGAGACCTGGACAGCTTCCTGGCCCAAGCAAGCATCCTCTTGGATGAAAAAGCTAGCACTCTCGATGAAGTCCTGAGGCGAATGATAGCGCACACGACGGAGGAAGGTCACGGCAGCTGTGATGTTGAGGAGGTCATGGCTTCTCTTTTCACAGATGCAGGAGGGAAAGATATTAATGGTGAGTGAAACATATTTTCAAAAAGAAATTATTTGAGAATGAATAACTGGTTGAAAAATTAACTGGAAAGCTTTTGGAGATTAATCTTTGTATCAATGGGTTTCTGCAGTTCACCTTCTTACAGAGACCATTCAGGGGGTGACTTCAACTTCAACTGGCATTCATTATCAACAATCCTGGCTTTGCATTCTGTGAGTACACCTGCAATTCCTTTGTTGTTCTAGACTCGAATCAATATTTTTAATCTAATAAATTGTCATGGAATCAGGATAATATTGGTTGTTCGTTCATCAGAAGAGGGAAAAAACAACCTTTTGGTTTAAATTCATAATAAGATGATGTGTTAATCCAGCTCCAATGTGAGGAACCTTCAGAGACGCCATGTCTGTGTCACCCGTCTGGAGAGACCCCAAAACTGGGGAGTCAACTGCTGCGAGGCTCGCTACGTCATCCTCATCCTCGCTCCACCCAGGACGGTAAGAGTTGGAATATACTTTTTAAAATTTCTGTTCCTCCAATTCATCCATCCATCCATCCATTATGGTAACCACTTATCCCTTAATGGGGTTGCGGGGCGATTGGTGGAGGGTAGGGCTGCATACACCTAACTATGTCTACACAGGGCTGACATATATGCATACTCTGGTCTAATCTGTTTACTTTCTCATTATGTTTTTCAGAAAAGCACCAAGACAGCCATTGAACTGGGCAGAACATTCGCAACAATGTTCTCTGACATTTCCTTCAGACAAAGGCTTTTGGACACTAAAACCCAAGAGGAGTTCAAGCAGGAGCTGGTTTCCCAGCGACATCAGCTATCCGCAGTCAGTGAGAAGGCAGTTGTAGAGGAAGTGGATCACTCCGATCCGCGCAAAGGAAAAGAGATCAAGGTGTGAATTAAGAGCAAAACAGACATCTATCAGTGCACAATTTACTGATATGGACAGTATATATGTGGCTACATGACTAAAAGGTTGTAGAGTAGATGGTTAAAAATATTAGGCTAGAAAAGCTTTGGAAAACTTGAATCTATTTAACAGAGCATGCGGTAAAAACAACATTTACACTCTTTACTGACAGTAAGGTCCCTCCAGATGTGGAGACCACCCCTATGTTTTCTCAGTTCACACAGGCACATAAAGATGTGGTGCAGTAAAGTAGTTGAGCCAGATTATCTGAGTATCCTGTTTCCACAATCTATTAGCCAGGCCTGAGGAATAAGAAGCAGCTGGGCAACAGACTG